GTAATAATGAAGAAACATGTTCTATCAGTTCACGTGTCTTTCATACTTTCTTAAACAATTCGGTATTATTTAAATGTAAAGATATGGAGAGCATTATGTTTAAGGCAGTCTAAACATAAATATGCCATATCTTATCAGTAAGCACCATTGTGCACACTACAAAAAACAAGTGGATGTGGTTTGCTTTTCTGTCTATACAGTAAGTGAAGTTTAACCGTCTGAAAAAAAAAGAGAAAACAACATAAAGCTGTGAAAAAATGTGTTAAAATAATAAGAGATCTGCGACACTCAAAACTGTGGTTTAACTGCCATTTAAAAGAAAAAAGCGAAACACATGGCTTCCTGGAATGATCATATGGTGCGGTAAAAAACAAGCTTTCACATGGAACTGCCAATAGAGTATTCACATGCTGAAGTATTCTGCTGAATTCTAGTCACTGGGCAAACAGCTAAGCTGGCTAAGATGATGACCACTCACACAGCAGCTCTGAGTCAACCAAACAGCATCATCTATTGACAAAACTAAGGCACAACATCCGTATTAACTTAAAGAAGTAATTTCCTACTGTGAAAGGCGTTCTAGATATGAAAGGCAACAAAATAAATCAGACTATGGAAATACAAGCTAGTAGGAAGGTACATGAAAAATATCAAGTCCTAAAATGTAAAAGGTCAAACATACTGACCCAATATTGTACACTATTTCTCCTACAGCCAAATCCTAGTAATTCAAGAAGTATCCTTAACACAAAGGGAAGCCCAGCTAACCAGAAATGCTCATTTCCCCAATAACACACTATTTAGTCCTGGCAGCTTAATTCAAAACACACTGCTAGGATCCAGGATGGAGGTCTCTTAGCTAATAAAAGTTAGGACAAACGAATGAAAAAGTTCTTACCTGATAATCTTCTCTTCAACAGGCTGGAGTTTCATTTGCAGAATTTAAAATGATCCATGTTTGTTGCTGGTACTTCCTGGACATAGTCCTGCCTTCTATCTCATGTCTGCCAAAGTTCTGCCTCCGGCAGCAATGTAAGCTGATAGTTCAATTTCTACAACTGTTGTTTCAGAAATTGAACTGTGTTGGGGTTTTTTTCATTCAGTAGTGAATTTAGTCCAACACCTAGCTTTTTGCCTCAGCTGAAGAGCTACTGGATCAATGAATTCTGAAATCTGTGTCATGCACCCTTACTAAAAATTATTACCATTTCTGTATTTTTTAAAAGCTGACTCAATTTTGAAGTCCTTATAATACACTCTTATTTTTAAGGACTTTAAAAACAATTTGGGCTGCTACTACTCCAATATTAGACATTTTATTTTTCAGTATTTTATAACTGCTTTATTAAAAGTAATATAAATAAATTTGTTCTTCTATCCATCAGTTTTAAATTGTGTTGTGCTTGGTCAAAAACAACTCCCTGGCAAAGTGATTATTAACCAGTCCTAAAATCTCATTCTATATAAAGAAAACTAGTGTCAGGACAGCCTAACACTACATGTGTCGGGGGGGGGGGGGGGGGGCCGGCACAGGGGAAGGCAGATACAGATTTGCTTAGAACAATGGGCCACATTTTCAAGTGTAGGGCTTAATAAAAAACTCTGAGTTAAAAGAAAATGCTCCTATTGAATTCAGTGGAATTCGGATCCGTTTCTTGATATTTAAAAGTAAGAAATTGTATCCAGACAAGTTCCTTAATGAACTGCCCAGTTTTCATAAGCTTGTAATGCTTAAGAAAACGAGAACACACAAGAAATTAAAACTATTAAAAATGAAGGCATACATTTACAGAATCTAGCTGCAAACATTTCAGTTGTAAGAGGATAGGCCATGATTTTTCAGTCAAAAAAAGCCAAGTAATTAAATAAGAGAATCAGGACTGGTAGTAGTAATTAAAGAGATGCAAGAAAGAGGTGGAAGTTGACAAATAAACTAAGTGGTAGCCTTGCTTTTTTTTTTGCATAAGTCATAATTATATAGCTGATACTTATTTGAGCTCTTCTTGAATAGGTGCGTTTTTAACAGATAATCACAAAACAAGTGTGCAGCTTATGGCTTTAAACAGATGTTCATTTCTAGTAGTGACATTTCTCTATCACTAGAAATGTTTCCACAAAAGACAGCAGTGCAGGGGTTCAGCCTACAACTCTCCCTTCTCCATTGCTCCACACGCCCTCCTCAGTCTGGGATGATCCTGGTTCAGGAGCAGCATGGAAAGCTGGCCTGCACCATTCCCCTCGCTCATGGTGGCCTACAGCAGTGGGGCAAAGCCCCCCCCCCCCACCTGGGAAGCAGGCAGCAGCAGCTTGGTCTCAGCAAGGTACAATGAGCCTTTCCTCACTGCTCAACTCTCCCTGGGCATAGGAGAAGGTGAGCAGCAGCTGCTCCCCCAATCTTCCCCAGTTAGGGTGACCCCCCGTCTTAGAAAAAATACATGGAATATTTCTCTGCCACTCAATTCCTGGTCCCTGGGAGAAGTCAGCAGCAGGAAACTCCTGGGAGGGGAGTCTACCAGGTCAGAGACGGGTTATTTTTGTTCTGGGAGAAACAGTGAGTGCTTGTATAACTCATGGTTTCTACTGGGAGAGCTGAAATTTTCCCAGTAGAAACACAGCACCAGTACATGGCCTTAAATCGCTAGAGAACAAATCAGAAATATGCAAGTCCCAGGCAATAATTTCAATACTGAAAATGACAAAAATGATCATGGGAATTACTTAAGCTAAGCTCACTTCAGAGCTATTAATCATTTGAAACAAGCATTTGAAATAGATTTAAGATCTAGAAAATCAGATGGCAAGGATTATAATCAGTAAACTGTGAAGAAAAACTGAGTTTCACTAATCTATTCTTAGTCTTTGGGCATATTAATGAAATTAAAGATTAAAAGAACAAGTTGGCAATTCATTTAGATTTTCAAAAAATTATTTGACAAAAGCTGTCAAGCATAATCCTTTAAGGAAACTAAGCAGCCATGTGGTGATAGGCAAAGCTCTATTGTGAGTCAGAAAATGTCTAAGATAAAGCACCACATTTTTATCATGGGTATATGTTAATATTTTTCTTTTCAGGTTCCACAATAGACTCGTACATTATGTCACTTACTTGGAAAGAGACCAAAGGAAGAGAGCAGTAAAGTGGCAAAAACTGTAAATTATTATTTGGTTAAATACAGACCAAAATCAGACTTAACAAATTAAGTACAAGGGTAATGTGAAAGCAGAAAGAGAAAGTATATTAAATAGGAACAATTTGAGCCACTTAACGACACTTTAGCCAATCAACTCACAACTCAAGAAAAATATATTAACACTTTTAATGTAAACCTCTGCTTTACTACTAGGGAACCTGAGAAGGACTTTACTTATAAAGAGATGAAAACAAACTAAACTGTTTGAAAGGAAAGATGATAAACATATACAACATGATGAGAGGTCAAAAGGCGGCAAAAGGCAGACTTGACATTATTATTTATCCTCTTTCATGATATAATGCAACGTACTGGGGTGCTGTGAATTTGAAAGAGAACAAAATTAATGGATAAAGGAAATACCTCTTTTCTAAAAAACTGCACAAATAACTTGAGGCACGTTTTCATACAGCATTAGAAAGGCAACAGTAGGATATAAAAGAACTGAACATTTATAAGGACACTATAATAATAAGGACATACAGAGTTACGTTATTAGGATCAGAGGTATGTATCTATAAAATGTTAAATATCTATTCACTTGAAATGGCAGGCCAAGTTGAAGGGGAAGGCGGCATTGGGGAAAAACTTCCTTAAAGTTTTTGGTAATACCCCATCCCCCCCGTAAACCTCACTGCTTGCCCAAACACTTGAACCAGAACCGTTTTAACAGGAGTGAGGATGGTGAGCATGCTAAATGCAGAGAACTGAGAAGCAAGCTACTGATCACAACAGAAGTATTGTGCTCTTCCAGACTAAGTACAGACAGTCAAAAAGCCCAAGGCTGAACTGATTCAATCTCCACAGGGTAGTCTAAGCTGTGTAGATTGAACCGATAAGGAAGTGAATGGGCTTTTGATTCTGGAAGTGCCTGAGGTGGCCCAGACTGGGGGGCGGCGGGGATGCCAGAGCATGCCTCCCTGTTCACCTGGCACAGACAGCTTGGGCCAAGCGGGAGTTCGCGGAGGAGGTGCAAAGCATCCAGGGATGCTGGGAGACTGAATTAACTTGAATCTAGAGGGTATCTGGGACAGAAGTTCAATAAACTGATTCAACTTAAAATCAGTTAAGTCTGATACTACATCCATCCTGGTTCATCTTAAACCAGTTTTGGCCATTTTGTAAGTGGTTTATGTGCACTGAACTTCAGTTGCGTTACAGATCTGAACTGACTGCTGATCACTTATACCGGTTTGCGTGTAACTGCTGTCCCTAGCCCTAATGGCATGCCAACTTATGCCACAATTATGGCTTGGTGTTCATCATTTTCTTGTACTTCTGGCATCTGAATTCAAAAAGCAGTAAAAAAAAAAATTAAAATAAAAAAAAATCATATAGCGAGTAATGTAAAGAATGTTAACAAACCTTTAAGAAATGAAAGGCTACCGCAGCCCATACTCTTCCTTGTTTTTGAATCAATTAACCATTGATTTTTCTGGCATATGAAAGAACTATACAAAACTTAATTTTATTTTCAAGTACTAACACTAGAAAATCTTACTCTGTATTTACAGTTAATGTTCTATATAGCAATTAACCTCAAATTAAAGAATATTTAAAACAGTCATGATTGCATAACTTTTCTACTTTAAATTATTAACCCAATTAGTGCTTTATTCACATTTTAAAAACTTGTACAATTTATTACAAATATAAAACAGTGCAGTTTTCCATACAGTATCCCAACTCTTGAGACAAACACTTAAAAGACATGGAAAAAGATTTGATTTCTATAAACATAACATTTGCATTACACCCTTATTTTCATCGTTTTCCCCTACCCGATTTAAAAAGATCAAACATACAACATACTGTAGGTTTATTTTTATTCAAAAAGTTACTGTCTCAAGACATAAATACAAATCAGAAAACAGTACAATTAGGACAATAGAATGTGGAGGACAACAGGTTAAGGTAAATATATAAAACATTTTTAGCTGGTTGAAAACATAAAGCTGTAAGAACTGCTTTCACAAAGAAACACTCCTTCAAGAGTAAGAAAAAAATCAACTTAAGTTTAAAATCATATATACAGTCCTCTCAGCAGTTCTATTAAATGCAGTGGTGTGAAAAACAATATAGGCAGTACTTTTAGACATGAGAATATTTATTTACGTAAAATGAGTTAGGCAGATCTGTTTTTGAGTTTGTTGTTACCCCATGATTTAGTAAAATAATTATATTTTATCATGATCCTTTAGATAACCTATGGTTTTTGGCTACCACAGCCCAATGTTTAATTTCTGAATCTAAAAACAGGAAGCCTTTTTGTACTCACCCATTTGGGGAGACTCTTGTATTGCAAGCATATTAAGGCATGGAATGATTAAAATAATATACCTCAAGAACTGAGAGACAACTGACAAAAAATATACATATGTAATATAAGTTAATATTTCCTTTAAAATGATGTCTAGCTGCCTAAGCCTTGCAAAATGAGTTGATGTCAAAATGGCATAGATCCACTTTCTGTTTTAGACTGATTTAATTTATTTATGAAAGGACACAAAATGAAGTTTAAAGCTTAGCTTTCAAAGAATATTATGGGTTGTTTATGAATTTCTATTATCCAATCTAATTTACATACAGAGGAAATGTACTGTAACCTGTTAGAAGTATCTTTAACCTGAAGACTGCTTGCAAAGACAGATAGATAAAACAATATAAAATACAAATTTAAAAATCATTTTAAAGCATGAATTCTCATGCTTTTCTATTTTTAAACATTGTTAAACTTTCAATATATTTCTGAAACCTCATAATTTTAAGTTGGAATTTAAAAGTAAGAAAAAACTAAACAAACTGCGCAATTATAAAATCAGCACCAATTTATATATATATATAATTTTATTTAAAATTTAGATCCCTATTCCCACACTCTAATAAGCTGTATAATTTTTGTTTAGAATTTTTCTGCAAACATACTACAATAAGCTTCTTTATTTGGAGACAAAATACAGTGGCACTACTGGAAGGAATTTCACAACATTACATTTTTTCTTAAAGGACAAGCAAACTTTCAGGGTTGATAATGGGCACGCAAGATTGAGTTCTGTTGCTTTCTGGAAGTTCGTGGTTTCTGGACCTTTCAGAGAAGGTTATAGTGATGCTTTGGGATTTGAAAAACATTTTAAATGAAAAGAGTGTTGATAAAATTTCTGCTACGTTTACTTTATGTGATTATCATAATTAAAACAAAATTTCTGCTGATGCAATTTAAGTATTTAATTTCAAATGTCAAAACTTCTGGTTCTACTACTCTAGGAAATCAATCCATCTACCATTTCAGTCCACAGATGTAAACAGGAATCCAGCAGAGCTCGATTTAGTACAACCAGGCAAAGAATAAAGAGAGGGCCTTAACAAATTGGTATCAAACCCCTCTCAGACTTTTAGATCAAAACTAAGGAGGCAATACTTGTTATGATTTTGAAATAAATTGATAACACATAAATAAAATATTGGTTTTCCAACAAAAACTGTAGCTTATCCTCAAATTGTTTACTTGTCCTTTACATTTCATTTTTCAGGCAAACAAAACTGCCCCTTCAATGCACTTGATCTTGAAAGCATGTCATTCTCCTTAGAGAAAAATCTGTTCAGAATTTCACTGTATCTACCACAATTTTGTATTTAAAAACTTCCTCTTCCACTTAGAAAATGACTTCACCACTGATTTATTTGCTGATCTGGTATTAAAACATTGACACCCCAAGAACCTAAAAGAGAAAAATATGTATTAAAAATGGCCTGGCATTCAATTTATAGTTTTCTGCATTTTCTAACATACATGTAAAAGAGTAAGACAAGATTAGTGTACAGATTAAATGTCATGTTAAGGCACAAATAAATGCCTTGAACATATTTAAGGTTTTTATCCTTTCCTCATTCCAAAATTAGCCATGATGCAGAGGAAATTGCAAAGTCTGTTGTAGTGTTGAAAACAGAACAACTCGTATTTATTAGAAGATCCCAAGAAATTAACATGTAGGTCCATCAAAAAGCAGCACAGGTCTTCATCAGATTCCTGTGAATTTAGGTAATAGCTGAAAATTAGTAAGTTTTCCATGAGTTAACTATCTGGAGTTCTTTGAAGGTGACAGCTCCACAGGCTCAAATCTGAAGTCGAGTGCCATGTTGCGCAGTCTCCAGAACTGTTAGAGAGCAGTTAGTCTGGGATGGGGTAGTCTATAAGCATGCATTGCCTGGTGCAGAGACAATGTCTACAAAGAAGACATCTTGTCCCTCAGTTGCTGTCCAGGATACAGAGACTAAATAGCAGGTATCAATGGAGGCAACATTCAGAAAAATCCAACTAGTCAGTAATCAGATAAAGCCAAAGCCTCCTCACTTGACATGATTAAAGTGAAGGAAAGCTTGATCAGGATGACGTATCTGCTCACACTTCTAGGAGACATCCAACAACAGGGAGAGCAAGCAAGAAGTTTCCTAAGCCACTGAAAGCAGGTTCCACCATTGGCGAGCCCATACCAAGAACATCAGGATCATGTGCTCATTTTCCTGCCTTGCTTTGTATTGGACTTTGTGGATCAGAAAGAGCAGTGAAGAGGCATAAAAGAAACTTCACTTCCTATTGCAGCAGGTAGTTATCTGGTACTGCTGGTAACGTACCTCCCCCTCTGGATCTAAACCATCTCTTACCATTGATCTTGCTACTAAAACAAAAAGGAGTCACTCAGCATGCAACAAAAGTGAAATATACAACATGCACGCACAGCAATACAGTGTGATGAGATATCAGTTATCCTAGATGTCATGGACCACCGAACAAGTACTGAAGAACTGGGGAACCATTGTGACTCTCTTACAAACTAAAAATCAGTTCCAAATAATAGATGTCTGGACAATGTGTGCACACAGGTTATGATGGGTCCACTCTGTGCCTAACTGCTTTAATGTTCCCATGGTCCATGCAGAAGGGCACAAACTCCAGGAGTGGGGGGATCTGGGGGTGCGGTTACATAAAGAAACTACAGCAACCCTATCCAGAGGATTTTTTTGGCGTGTTTATAGAAATTTGAGCACATAAACTGATTTATGTAATTATAATATTGATACAAATTTCAGCCACGTTTTTATATGGACTAATCATTACCTTTGAAATAACTAATAGCCCAACATAGTTTTTGCCTCAATTTAAACAATGTGATTCAGCAGTCTTAACACATTTCCTTAATTCGTTTTCCATACTCTAAAAGCTCTTTGCAGTAGTAAAATTGTAATATGCTGCCCTCGTGTGGAATCACTGCCAAACTGCAGGTACAGGTGTATGTTTTACTTTATGCTCTATTTTACGGTGGAAAGCCTGAGCCAGAGTATGTGTTCTGTGCATGTTTGCATAGAACAAGGGGTTTATAAGAAGAGAGATGGCAACAAAAAAAGGGAAAACAAACCAATGTAAAAATTATTAGATAAGTGATTCTGAGGCTGGAACTGTCAGATTAGGAACACTGTAACCGTGCATTTTGTTGGCGGTAGAACAGTTACAGCAAGTTAATGAATGCTGAAAGTGATCACTTCAGACAGATGACGAAAAGATTACTAGGAGAGTTCCATGGTTATCACTTTGTGAAAAACAAGGATGAGGACAAAACACTGAATCTTAAATATGAAATGAAAGTTTGCAAGAAGTAGGTGCACTAAACCAGTTACCTGAGGAACACATGAACAACTTAAAGGTTTCCTCGCTTACTTATGTTCAGGGAGCTTATGTGCACACACACAAGTTTCTCAGGATGCTTAGGACACCCTCTTGATGCCCTTACCCACCAAACTGGCTATTTGCTAGAGCTTGTTAGTCCCCATCCAATGTTGTCATAAACGAGTTGTACTAAAGTTCATAGCTTATCCGGCTGACTTAAGATGACAAATTCATAAGAGTGTGTTGCAGACAACAGAAAAAATAGGGTGGAGAAGAAGAGGAAAGGGTGGCAGTGGAAGTGGGAATTACAGGCTTTAGATGCCTTTGGAGCTAAAGCTTCTAATATAGAAAATGAAAATACCCGCACGGACTACAAAGATAAGGAAAATACACTTAAGCATTTCCCTTCCATTTAGATTCTCTTAAACCTATTTAACACAAGTAGTGTGGGGTGCATATATGCTGATTGGTTTGGAGGTCCCAGCTATCTTATTGTTGATAACTGGCCGTAACATCACCAGAATAGCTTAGCTGGTCACAAAAGAAGCTTGATCTTAATGCTCAGTTACACTTTAAAATACACAAATAAGTGCTCCCTAAGAAGTGCCTTTCCACAATCTGAGTAATGCCCTCTTTCCAAGGTGAAGGGTTTTGCTTTTGACCAGCTACAGTAGTATTACACTGAAAACAAGAAAAATTAGATAACTTGCAAATTCGACACTCACAATGTAGTATTTCTGTCGTGTCTACTTAATATGTTCAAGATTATTATTTATATTACCCACCTATCTGGGATGAGAAACAATCACTATCAATAATATGAAGCGTTACAATTTCATTACTGTATTTTCAGCACTTGACTAATTTTTTTTTTAACACGTGAATTTCAGCCCAAAGCTGAATATCATACATTAATGACAACTTAATACTGAAGCAAATACAATCTCTGATATTCCATTCCAATTATACACATTCCAATAGTTTAGTCTTATGATTGGAATTTAGTTTTAACTTTCCCCTCATTTTACTAAACCTACCGATTCATCCATGATTGAAGCGGGGTCAAAGAAATCTGGTTTTAGCTCCGTTCTTTCTCTCCGATTCTTTGATGGTGGCTAAAAAAAGCAGCAAGAAGTGAATGATCATCCAAAACACTAACAGTAATTCAAATTAAAGAGAAACAAGATTTCTCTTTTACTAAAGGTAGATGTTGACTGAAAAAGTGTAAAAGCTTATTCCGAGGAAAATACTTATTCCTATTAAACTATTTTACACAAACACATCTTTTAGGGCAAGCGAACAGTAAAAATGGTAGGAGAAGCGATAAATTATTTTATAACACATTGATTCAATAAAATAAAATGTCAAGAAAACTGGTAACTACAAAAAATGTCCTGTCAAGATGCCCACATTTGTAGCAAAGTTGACTTAAACCTTGTTAAAGCCAACTTTTTTGTTCAAAACACAACCACTACGTGTTCTGTTGTGCAAAGAACACTGAAATATAAAAACTGATTTAACTGCAATACCAGGTTTAATTAAAATTAATATGCTTTTAAATTTGCTTACCAAGTCTATATCCATGGTGTCAAAATCCATGCCTTCATTGAGGTCTTCAATTCGCCCTTCCGATGACATCATTACGTCCTCAACAATTGGCTCCTCATCATCTTCCATTAGGCTTGTACCACGCCGACTACAAAAATGTAAAGAAAATATACTTAAGACTGACCTGAAATATTAAATGTGTAGCAAAATTATTAGGATTTCCTGGAACCTAACGTAGAGCTGGATATAAATTACAATTGTAATGAAAAGTACTGGTAAAAGCATGGACAGAGGCTGAAGGAGGAGCCAGGGGCCCAATCCAGACTATGGTCTGCATGGTCCAGCCTGTCTGAGTGAAGTCCTAGGAGGACAATACCCTGCAGTGTTTTGTGGGACTGTGGTACGGGTGAGGGCTCAGAGTGGCCAGTCGCGCATGTGCAGGCATGCGTTTGCTCAGAGTGGCTGGTGTGCTGCTGTCTCACGGACAGGTTGGCAGCTCTCCGACACCCCCAGTGGCCACTCTTCTGTGTGTATTGTTTGTTGTTAGTAGGGAGGAGGGCTTTGGGGTTCGTACTGTTGTATAATATAGTTGGTTTTATTCCCCCTATTTTTGGTGTCTTTGATTATTTGCTAATTTGTTATTTTTAGCATGGGGTAGCACCAGGCTGTAGGCGACCACCCTGATGAGGCTGCAGGCCTGCCCACTTTCCTTTTATTAACTGTTGGTCAATTAGCTAATTAATCAATTGGCTAATTGCCCTGCAGCACTCTCACATGACTCCCACAATCACTAGGCCAAGTAAAAAAAAAAGAACCCCCCTCTTATGAGTAAAGCCACGGATGGGGAAACCAAAACCACCCACAATTTCACTAACTTTACTCACATGGCATGCTGAAGGTTGGTTCTCAGTTTGACATAATTCATTGCTGCCCTCTCCTGCTGTTGCCTAGCTGCTTCTTCTTGTTGTCTTTGGGCCAACATCCACGTTACCTGTGTGCTTAAAAGGAATTTTACTTTCCTTTAAATGTGAACTAGATTTGTATTTGAGCAGTAGTACAATATATTCATCCATCATTTCTACATACTTGTAATCAAGTGGAGCTTGATGGTGTTCAGGCTGCATAGGATAGACGCCCATGTAATTCTCTTCAGGTCGCAATCTCTTGGGCTCTCTCATGATTGTGGAAGTGAGCTGTGGAGTCTGCATCATGACTGGTGTGTGCATTGTCTGCTCCCTGTTCAGCCACATGCTATCACTACTACTGCTTTCTTCAGCTGGAGAACAGAAACAGTATTCGCATATTATTTTTTCAAGTCCAGCTAAAAATGAAGTTACTTAAACACAACTTAAGAAATACATAATACCTTTTAAGAACATTAAAATTTGTTTTACGAAGCCCAATTCCTTAACCAGTAAGTAACTTATTAAAATAAGCTCCAAAAAACCTTGACAATTGACCACTGCAGTAACTGTTTGAAAACCCTTTCGATTCTGCACTTCCAATTAGGTAATTAGATTGCCTTTTATTTTCTCCAAGCATTTATATCATATCATAGCACAAAGTATATAAACAAAAATTAGAATTTAAAAGTATTACAGAAGGCCAGTAACTAATGTAACAAGTATAAAAATACAAAGCTAGAGCCTTGGTTTATTTAGTAGGTTCTATTAATTTTGAAGAGCTACTTGAGTATACTTCGTAATAGAAAAATTCACACCTTCAGGTACTTTCCGCTTCCCTGTTGCTGGCTTTGTTTTCTTATTTCTTACTGTAGAGCCTCGACTGCTGATTCCACTAATAACTGACATAGTATCATCATCACCTCCAGCTAATAAAGAGTTCCTGTAAGACATGAGTGGAAGCCACACATCTTCTCTTCGTAGAGACATCTGAAAAGTCATGAACTTCTCCAGGTAAACATACCTTTAAAAAAAACAAATGATTAAAAACTTCAAAGACTTCTTCAGTAAGCTCTTCCCATATTTCAAAGTACACATAAATTTGATCACTCAAAACTGAATCAGCATGGTCTTCATGCTTTCCTCATTTAACAGAAATGTCTTTGCCAACTACGGTCTCAACAAGTTGCCTGTATTTGTTCATCTACCTTAGCATGAAAACAACTGGCATACCCAATCGAAAGTTAGGAAAATTAGGAACAAATATATACAAGTTTCTCCTTAGTTCTTAATTGACTGCGCTGGTATCACTCCTATAAGAAGTAGGGAACGCTGCTAAATTACTTGGTCATCGTTATGATTTTCTATTACTTTTCAGGATAACTAAAATGTACTATAGTATTAGCAACAGGAACACTATGCCTATCTAATGCTGAAGAGGGGAATAAAAGAGTTAAAGATTCCCAACCAAGACATTCCAAATACTAATTTAAAACTTCAAAATATTAAAATAGAAATACTTACACTGTTCTTTTGTCTTGTCTGAGAAGTTTGGAGGAGAACTCACTCAGAATATCAAGAAATGCCAAGTTTAAAGGTGGATGGCTCTCACCCTGTGGATTAGGCTCTTTAAAAGCAAATTCTATGCCATCTCTGGAAATAAGATTAAGATTTAGGATCAGAATAAATCTCTCTACAAAAAGGTATCAAATACAGTTTTCCACAGGATTCCCTCCCAACAATATTAAAGTACCAAAAAGTCCCTAATGAGTCATATTACTCTTCCATGAACAAAAGTTTCTAGGTCAAAAAAAAATTCTTCCACGTATGCTAAGTGTGACCTCCTTTAATAATAATCCTTAAGATCTGTCAGCACTACTCCTAGATCAATGGGAGATCAGTTTTCACCCAATTCTCCTTAATCCTCTAAACTCAGAAAACAAGCTTGGTCCTTCCAAATGACAACATCCACTCTTACCAGTAACCAACCAGACCAATTCTAGCTGTCAACAATCAAAAGTTTAAAGCTATTTTTTTCATGACCTAATACAGAGCTTTCACAGGACCCTAAAATGTGGCTACCATTCAGTACTTCAGCTTTCATCTTACCATGGCACGGTCAGACCCCCACATTTGGCACGGTGCAATCGCATCCCATCTAAAATTCTGAAAAACCACTAACAATTGAAAAAAACTGGTTTCATTAATAGGCGATCAGTACTACTTGAGGAACTTTCATTTTGCCAGTGTATTTTGGATTCGTACACCACTTTGATAAGCTCCCCAAACTTCTTTCTTAAAATCAGCAGATTTTTCAAATACAACTTAGGTCAATTACTTGTGTAACATTGCAATAGCTTCTCTTGTTTTGAGCTGATCAAGTCCAAATGTTAAAGCAAAGCGCCGAGCAAGTTCCTTAATGCCACTGAACGTTGGTGATGATCTGTCAAAGTTGTAACCATTTTCTTGAATCATCTCATTGAAGAGCTGCATAAAATAATCAGGAAGAAAGATTTTTTACTGGTTAACAAAATGATGCAAATGGACAAAACCAGATCAAATCTACATGATTCCCACTCCTGTAATTTGAAGAAAATGAACTTTTCATAGTTAGACAACACAAACCTACATTTATACAAGCGCAATTTCTGGACTATTCAGAACTGTTCTTTTAAGTACACTGTCTAATATTGTCCTTAGTCTCAAAACTTATATCCCGGTCAACAAGACTTTCAGCACATTCTCAACCAGGCTACTTAACATTTTGAGACACCTTGTTCTTTCAGTTTTCCTGACAGTTACCTTAGATCAGTGCTTCTAAACTAGTGCGTCGCACCCTGCGGTGCCATAGGATGTTTTTAACGGTGCTGCCAGGTGCTCATCCCTGCCCAGCCGTGAAGTCCTTGCTTCCCACCCCTTTCCCACTGTATCCTGTGAGAAGTGGTAAGCACTGAGATAAATGCATTATTTTGAAATGAGGAGCTAACCCGAGTCTCAACAATTAAGCAGGGGTGCCTGAGTCTACAAAGGTTGAAAACTACTGCCCTAGATATTTCTCTTCCATCAATGCAGGTTTTTATGAAACCCCAATCACAGTAGACAAGAAGTCCCTATTCAACATATACATTTCCAAGTCACCTTTGTAAGACCATAAATCAAGTTCCTTCTCCCAATCTTTGAGTGAAATCTTGGCCTCACAGAAGTCAAACCTTCCACTGACTTCAATGCAGCCAACTTCTTCCTTGGTATTTACATCCTTCAATTATGTGCAGACATCAATACTTGGCAAAGCTGCACACACTGAACTATTTTTACTCTCAACTCTTCTAGCTTCCCAATCATTTTGTCAGCATCCTCTATACATTTCACTTACACAAGTTATATAAGGGCTACGAACAGAATAATTATTAGCAGCCAGGTCCATGAAGCGTCTGTTTATAACACAAAAAAGTCAATGATGTGCATATAACACTGCAAAGTTGTCTCTTACTTTCTGTTCATACCTCTACTTGGGTATCTTTTTGGCAAGATTTCTTCCTTATTATGTACTTTCATTGACACATTTTTCTAGGTTTAATGTCTTATTTACTACAAACTCTGAATTCTTCTTATTAGCACTCCTCCTTGCAGTCACTGGAACTCCTGTCAAGTCAGTACTACGTGACTTTCATTACTGTACTGTTTACTATCTTTTTAAAATCATTAGGGCTATTTCTAGACTGTGCAGAAGAGACTGGTGTGATGGCAGTCATTTATGTGACATCAGAAAATGCTAATTTTAGCCTATTGGAAAAAGTCAACAAAAACTGTACAGAAAAAAGTGCATGCAGGTTGTGGCTACCGCTCAGATGGAATCCCACAGAGTTCAAGTAGGAGTCAGCCCACCATTCAATCCATCTGAATGATGCCACTGCCTGAAGAAAAAAAACTACATTTTCACTTCACAGATGACGAAGCCTCTGCCAAATTTTAATGCATAACAGAATAATTAAATACTGCAGAAATGTTTTCCTTCCTTTTTAGAACAAGCACAGTAATAAAAGACTATTCTTTCTCGTTGATTTAATCGAAACCTCATAAATGTTTTGAATTACAACACAATCATCACAATATTGAAATGAACAGGAAGCTCCAACTACTGTTTCAGAACTGAAAAACACCATAAAGTCGCAGTGTCCTTCATTACTAAGCCCGCTGGGGGACGAGGGGACTACCGCCACTGCTGGCCCGCTGAGCAACCCTTGCAAAGCCAGCAGGCCAAGGCACTTAAGGGAGCCCACCCCTGCCCCAGCCCTGGTACAATCTCTGGGCACTTGCCTGCCTGTACACAAATGCCAGGAGCTTGGGGAATAAGCAGGAGGAACTTGTCCTCCTACTTAACGCTAATAATTATTACGTCATAGGGATAACGGAGACCTGGTGGGACTCCACCCATTACTGGACCACGGGTATAGATGGCTATACCCTGTTCAGGAGGGAGCAAGTAGATAAAAGGGGCAAGGGTGTAGCTCTCTATGTTAAGGAAAGCTACGCATCCCTGCAAGCTGATGTTGGTGACCAGGGTGGACGACTGGAGACCCTCTGGGTTAAAATCCGTGGAGAACATGGCACAGGGGACACAATGGTGGGAGTCTACTACAAACCTCCCACCCAAAGTCAAGAGCTTGACCAGGAGTTCGCCCGGGAACTGGCTGAGGCCGCATGCTCCAGGACCACCTTTGTCATGGGTGACTTCAATTACCCGGACATCTCGTGGGAGGACCACTCAGCAAAATCCAAGCGGTTGCAAAGCTTCCCATTGTGCATGGATGACCTCTACCTGACTCAAGAAGTTAATGGGCCAACATGAGATAAAGCGCTGCTCGACCTGGTACTGGCTTCAGGAAAGCCGACTTTGACATGCTCAGGACGCTCATCAGTGAGGCCAAGGAACCACGACCCCAGGGGGAGGGGAGTTCAGGAAGAGTGACTGCTCCTCAACGGAGCGATCCTCAATGCACAAGCTAACTCAATTCCATCTCGGAGGAAAGGCAGCCCCCCTGGCTCTCCAGCAATCTACCAGACCTCCTGAGGCGAAAAAGAAAGGCCTACAAAGGATGGAGGATGGGATTCACCTCCAAGGAGGAATATTCCGCACTGGTCCGGTCCTGCAGGGAGCAAACCAGGAAAGCAAAGTTTGCAACTGAACTCCAACTAGCTTCAAGCATCAAGGACAATAAGAAGTCCTTTTTCAGATATGTGGGGAGCCAGAGGAAAAGCAAGGGCAACACTGGACCCCTGCTGAACCAAATGGGACAACTGGCGCCCAGGAAAAAGCCAACCTATTAAATGGGTACTTTGTGTCTGTCTTTCATCAGTCCCATGGGACAC